TATATATATATATATATATATATATATATATATATATATATATATATATATATATATATATATATATATATATATATATATATATATATATTATTTCAACTGAATATAAGCGTTTGAAAGAAAGCTACAGATTTTACTGACCCCATTTACACTTCAAATATACAGAAAATTTATATAAAAATACAAATGATCGAGAAAATATACAGAATATTTATATAAAAATACAAATTATCGAGAAAATATACAGAATATTTATATAAAAATACAAATTATCGCGCACATTACCACCAGCCCTCCCTGGAAGCGTCTGTTTCGATTACTAAATCGGGAGAAGGATGTAGAAGCGCTCGACCGTTCCAAACATTCAGGTGACCTAGCCACCTAACTCCTCCCTGGCTTCCATCGGCAAGGCTATAGTTGCCTCGTAACCCTTGCGTTGAGCGAGGGCTTGGTGTTTCAGATGCTGGAGGTGGCAGTAATGCAGAGGAGCGGGGAAAATTACCTCTATGGAGGCAGTCAACTTCTCAATCAGCTGGGATAGCACTCGGACTGAAACTTCGTGATGCGCTAGCAAGTGAGTGCACTGGGCTTTTATTGCTTCCATTTTGCAATCGAGCAGGAGTCATACCCCGAGTGTTTACTAGAAACCCTAAAAACTCCAACAGGTGCGTTGGAATGAAATGCCGCTTATCGAAATTTATTTCGAAAAAGGGCTTTCGCATACCAAGGTTGGGTCGGCCAATTTGGTAGCACAACTACCAACCCTTGCTTTCACTTCCTTGATCTTGCTTAAAAAGTCCCTATAAGACTAAAAGGAGGAAAAGCATAAAACATGAGTGAGCTCCATGTTAGAGTAAATGAATGAATGAATGAATGAAGACTTTATTTAACGAGAGTTACACATGCCAGTTTGCACTGATAAATTTGTGGCTCTCAATGGATTATACAAATAACTTGAGGCAAATAGGTCAATATTTGGTGAGTAATCTAAGTCTTTTAATGCTTTGGCTAAACGTAGCTTATCTAGCATCCATTCCGATGCCTTTTCGTTTCTTCTTGATCCAAAACCTGCAATAATTTATCTCGCCCTGGTATATGGGCAGCACTTTTCCATATTTTCCTCTCAATACACCAACTCCAAACCTGATGGGCTAGAAATTACATTTAGGAGAATGGCTTGAACCCATGTTGTTAATAATGCCGACTGCAGACGTATT